CAGGATACGACATGAAATTCGAACATATTTTTGCTCCACGATACGAACAAAAACTCACCATACGACGTTACATTAGTTCGCATTTTTCATTTGTTTTTCTTACTACAGTTATTTTTTTTAATGTATTACTTGGCTTTAATTTGAGTATGTTTTTCGCGTTGGAACGAATTATTTAGTTTTACATGTAATCGTATGGGAAAAGATGATTCACCTTACGACATTTTCATGATACGATCTCAGTTTCGGAACGGATTAATTTCGTATCCTGAGGTACCACTGTATTAAGTAACTATAATTAAGGGGTTGTGCATAAATTATATCTGCATTTTTCTTTAAATTTTTACTCCCCCTTCCATCCCAGCTTGTCCAAGTTTCCATAATCCCCTTACCTCTTTGGAAATCTGACAAAACTCAACTTCCCTTAAAACCTTTATCACTGATAGATACCTTAAGTAAAAATGAAACATACAAGAAATTTGAAATAAATATAATAAAATGCATAAACTGTATGAAATTTAAGGAAATAAACAGATGCCCACCAATACTCAACCCTCCCCTTGACTTTGTCCGATTCATCATAAACCCTTCTCTCCCTTCCAGTGTCGACATCATTTATGGACAATCTGAAGTAACAACTTTGCTTGCCTATGAATGAAAAGCCTCTAAGTAATGAATAATCTGAAGGTCAAAAAGTATATATCAAACATATTCAACATAAAACACACTAAAGACCGTGACACACTAGGTGATTTCTTGCCCAGGAGACATGTCTCTGAGCAATAAAAACCTGTTGGCATTTACCAATATTCAGATACACAAGGAGATAAGTTGCCTGAGTCAAACAATACCTGGTAATCATAAATTTTCACTAACAGTACAAAAGCATGTATCTTTAAGTACCTTGTCATGATATTCTTTAATAGTGTTGTTATACTGTAAATTGGTTCTTACAATTGAATTAATTAAATTAAACATTGTGCCCTGTCAAGAAGTGACTATCCTCCATTTTTATTTTTGTGTTGTAAACAAGAGCTGTATTACGTGATAAATCTATGCGCACTCATTCACTATTGTTTTAGTCTCCCAAAGTTAAAGTGGTTTGATCCCTAACAACTGCTCTCCCACTGCTCAAGAAATAGGTTTTTCTGTTACCCGGCAACATGTCTCCCACAAAAATCATTTTGTGTGTCATGGCATATTCAAGAAATATAAAATTATAAATTTTTTTTAAGATTACAAACATTTGTATTCTTAGATTGTAATTTTTGCAAAAAATGACATGATCTTAAATAAAAAGTCCAATAAAGCTAAAATAAAGAGATATCTTGAATCATGTGATAGAACCCATAACTTATAACTTTCAAGACCCAATATAGTAATTAGATATTTATTATATTTATGATTTTTAATACATCATCTGATAAAAACATTTAAAATCCACTCTGCATTTTATAACAACTTTTAGAAAAAAAATCAATCAAAAGTGCTATCATTGAACATGAACATCTTTCAGCAGGCTATCAGTGATTAAATTTTTCCAAGGTTACTGATGAACAAATACTTAAAAACTCTTACACGTGTTAGTGATAACATTTTTCTCTGCATGAAATTAAATTTCTTACAAACAAAAATCAGATCTAAAAATTTTAAATGTACAATATAAATAAATAAGAAATTTCAAAAGTGATTCAAAATTTGCAATATAATAAATTCTATTGTAAATTATTAAACTCTTCCCTAACATGATTTATTTTTAGTTTTTAACAATTCTTACAAAATTCATAACTTTTAACTTACAAAATTGAACCATTTTCTTTTTATGAAGAAAATCATATTTAAACTTTCTGATAACTATAGCTGAAAACTGCTTGCAAGTAAAATCATTAGATGATGCTATAACTATTCAAAACTGTTGGCAACAATACTTTTCTAACATGCATAATTTTGTCACAAAATCTTTTCCCGAGGAAAACTTGGCAACACTAGTCTTAGGAGAACCATACAGATCCCAGATTTCTCATCTGTAAGGTGATCTCTATCATTGAAAAGAATACACTGTAATAAAAGTGTAGAGATATCGATAGAAAATAATTAAATGAGAAGAATAATTTGGCAATTTTTAAAAAACATATTTCCAATAAACAGTATGGATATTTCAATGATCAGTTTTTTGGACACAATATGTAACATCAATACTGAGAAAATGGTACAGAAAATGCATTTTATACAAATTCAAACTTATTGCTAGGGCTTCAATGGTGAACCTTCTTCTGAAGGACAGTTGAAAATTGAATTCAAAATTTATTTACTTCAAATCATAGGTCCAACATTTAATTTGAGTAATTAAAAAATTAAAGTAAAATTTGTAAGCAATTTTTATTATTTTTAATCTATATCAGAAAAATAACAATAAATTCTGTATAAGTAAAGAGAAAATAATGTGATTATAACAGAACTAAATACAGTATTTTCTTTAATGGTGAATTGCTACTGTTTATTTAACATAAGTTTTTTATCTGAGATTCATAATTAATAGCCTTTACAACTTTTTACAACAGCTTTAGAATCTTGCTTTCACACTACATTTAGGCTAAAAAGAATATTTTATAGATTTTAGAACTTTGCATAATTTTTATGTTTCAACCAGTAGCTAAATGGATACCACAGAACACTGGGAGTTGTTCGTAGGTTCACACCTCTCCAACAAGCTTGTCACATGGAGTTTTCTAGATTTTCTTTGCATGTCTGACACCAAAATAGGAGCCAGTTTCCTACAAATATCTGTTACAATATGTACTAGTAGGTGCAGTATACAACATATAACAAAATCCTTCTGAAAGGTAGTCCCTCCCTTGGCAGATCATCCAAGTGTAAATTGTAAATTTTCCTTATCTAATCAATCCTACAAGTCTACATAATTAATAAAAACCAAATATTTTCTAAACATTCCATGCGAGTACATCAGAATTGTCATGAGTTATGTGCTAGCCCATACATGGTCTAGCACAGTGATTGTGAACCCATACCCATGGGTTCACAATCACTGTGCTAGAGTATCCCACAGGACAAAGCATGCTTTATGAGATTGAATTTATTGTTTTTAGTAGCAACAGAGTTCATTAAGTTGCAAGTTCTATGGATGTATGAACTAAATTTTTGTATCTGTTAGAATGGAATGACTGGAACAAATCAATAAAAGTAATCAAACTTATGACTAACACTGAAATTAAAGTTTATCACAAGTCCTTTTAATTAGCATATCTAATAATATGTCACATTTCTCAATTTCAAAGGTAAACTTTATATATGGAAATATATTATTTAAGATGTGGAAGAAGGAAAGGAATTCCTTATGGATACCTAATCAATCTAGGAGTATGTCTACATATCTGAGGTATAATAGCAGGTATAGCAAAGTAAGTAAGAATCTAAAAATGAATTCCTTGATCTTCTTCATGGCAATTTCAGCTAAAAATATAGATAGAAGTGACCACATACATATGCCTCATGTTGTATGTAAATTTCATTGTTGAACCAGAAATAGTTTATTTCTTAATGCAAGAGTGTTTTATTGTCTACTAAAGTTGATAAAATCTTTTGTAAGTCCTTTTTTTCCTACAAAATATCACTAATGTTTTGACATTATCCTTCTCCAAACATTGTATATATATAAATATATATATATATATATTTATATTTTCATNAATGCAAGAGTGTTTTATTGTCTACTAAAGTTGATAAAATCTTTTGTAAGTCCTTTTTTTCCTACAAAATATCACTAATGTTTTGACATTATCCTTCTCCAAACATTGTATATATATAAATATATATATATATATATTTATATTTTCAACAACTTGTTTGCCCATGCCTAATCACCTTATAATATCCTCATATGTATTTGTTAATAATAGTTCTTTAAATGTTCTTTTACCCATAGATAACTTTGAACCTGTTTATATTTTTCTCCCAATATTACTTTTGTTTAAATTCCACTTATTACCTCTAAAAACATTGATCTCTCTCTGAATTTCAATTTTACGCCATTTAAAAATATTGTGTTCCATTCAACTTTTAAAGGTTCCTAAAGAAGGTTGTAATGTCTCAACCTAGAGTAGCCTACTTGAACTTTAATTAAAATTTGTTTATTCATATAATACTTTTTATCAGTATGCTTATTAACACTCAATTTAACATATTAATATCAAAAATGATTCTATATAAACTGATTTAAACTATTTAAACTCTGTTTCAAAAGACAACTAGTATAATTCTTATTAGGCCATTTGTTTGCAAAGCACAGAGTGTTTCCATATAAGAGCATTGTCAGATCTCTAAAACTAGACTAAAGGACACACAAAAATGATTAATACTACCACTCTCCAAAAAAGTAATTTACAATGATTTTTTTAGTTAATAAGTAAACATTGTTTACATTTATTATATTTTGATTTAAAAATAATAGTTTTCAAATTTTAATTTAATTCAAAATTTAAAATATTTAATGATAAATCATATCTTTCTGTATGGAAGGATATGAATTGATTTATAAGGATAGGCATGTAAAAAATCTACAATTGCTATTGCAAAATACAGGCATTTAAAAATGAAAATAAAAGATAAATAGAATCCTTTCTCATTTCAATAAAGTACAAGATAGTTTAGTTAAAATTAAGGAAATTTGGCAATACTTTATAAAAAACTGATCATTTTCTTTATAGTAATTAAATAAAATCTATTTTCAATATGATTATAGGCAATCTCCAACTCTCAGACATAATGCATTCTTTTAAATGCATACAAAAGTTGAATGCCTGAAAGTCAAGCAATTGAGATGTGTTATAAAGGGCATTCTGTTCCCAGAAAGCTAAAAAAAAAATAGTAAAATTCCTTATGAAGATAGGAAAGTTTTACTCTTTTTACAGTGAAGAGTAAACTTTACTCTTTTACAGTAAAAACACAGTAAAAAGTGTAAAGTTTTATGAATAAAACTTTACTCTTTTTACAGTGAAAAGAGTAAAACATAAAACATTATTTAACATATTAAAACCATAATTATTGTCAAAACTAAAACTGTTAGGAAACATCACTGCAAATAGCTTGAAATATGTTTGTCAGCTGAAAATATATATAAATGTAAATTTGATATCCAAAAGTGATTTTGTATCTAATGCATTCAAAAGCATCAGATACAAAAAAATAAGTTGTCCAAAAATCAATAACTGTTTGTATATAAAATTACATTCAAATATACATTATATAATTTACCTAAGAGAGGTACTAAATTTTTTTTATACAAACTTCATTTTTTTGCATATCATATATAATTTATAATATTATGAACAAAACTAACTAAATAATGAAGATTTTAAAGTACTAACATATAGTTTATCATCTTTGTTCAAACTACATCATAAAATATAAAGATTGTCAGTTATAATTACAAGTAATGTTAGTATTTTTAAGCATATAATATATTAATATGTACTGTATTGTAATCTAATATACTCTTAGCTCATACAATACCTTTTACTAAGAGTGCAACTATGCAGACGCGAATTACAAGTGAGTGAAAGGTTGCGAGCGATATAGTTCTCACAAAGAAAACCATGCACAAGCGAGAAGCAAGAAATCTCGCTGGAGAGAGTGAATTTCTGGTTCTTGCAAATATCTGACAGGCCTCTTCTCGCTCACTTGGGAAATTCGCTCACTCGTATCTGCATAGTCGCACCTTAAGTCTAGATTGTGTATGCAATTTATATACTGCATATCTAAATCACGACAAATCCAAATAATTCATCAACAAGAACTAATTATTAAGTTTATCTAAAAGCAAGGAATTAAGTAGCAATAAGACAGTCTAGCTTTGTTTAAATCTCATTTTCACATAAAGGTCTTTCTGATAATTAACACTTATTTAATTATTTATGCTTTGTACAGTTGCTATTGTCTTTATATATATGCATTTGAAATACTGACTTGTGTATTTTACATAAAACAATAATAAACAAAACACTCAGAGAAATTAAGAATGAGTTAAATTATTTCATTTTATGAATTATAGTATTTTATAAAAAAATAAAGTATAGAAGAAAACACTATTGCAAACCATGTAAAACATGGTCATTTCAACAAAAATCATAAAATTTTTTGAAGATTTTAAACTTCTGAATTAAAAATTTCCGATATTTTAATCATTATTGTTTTTGAAAATAAAATTAATTTAAAAACTTGTAACATTTTTAAAATGTAAAATTGTCAATAGTATAGAAAATTACTTGAATAATATAAATTTTCAAAAGCAAAAATTTATTAGACTAAAAACTAACTTTTTTTATTTTAACAAAAACATTATGTTGTTATCTCTATATAACAAAACTACAATGTTTTTAACTTAAATTTTTATACTTCTATGCATTCAAAGCTAGAACTATTTATAATAAGTATGTATGTTTGTACTTAGTTATTAAACTGCTAGAAACAAAGTGTGAAAGGTTTTGTCTTATTTTAAATTTTTATGTTGAATATAAGTAAAGTTTATTTTAAATGATTAAATCCACAAGACTATGTGAATTTCCGTTAAAATAAAAACCACACGTCAATTGTAAGGTCGATATCGAAAAAAGATAACAGCAAACTCAGAAGTTTAGGCTAGAAGGAAAGGGAAAAGTATAAAATACAATTAGAAATTTTATCAAAATGAACTAGAAAAATCCATCTTCATTTTTAAAATACTAATAAGTACTGTAAATCATTTCAAACTTTCATTCAATAATTTTGTTTCAGTTTATGAGGATTTTGTAATGTTGAAAATTCAGTTTTATAACCTGATAAAAATAACTAAAACATCAATCAGTTACACTTCAAAGGATATGGTTTAAAAAAATTATTCTTTTAATAACTGTATATATTAAGACATTTTAAATAAAATAAAAAGAAATCACTTAATATTTTAGAATTAATAATGTAAATTTCCTAGCTTTATAGCCTGTGTTTATACAAAGTATATGCAGTGTGTGTCCATTTATTATGATAATAAACAAAGTTTAACTTTAAAATTTTTTAAATAACCATATAATTTAAGAATTTTATTGATTGTTAAATTAAATGAATGTGAATACATTTTAATTTCTTTACCTTAATATGACAATCTACAGCCTTTTGCGCCGCCAATTTCTTAGCAATTTCGACTTTATCCATGTTTGTGAAGTGTATCGAAGAGAGTCCTTGGACAGAGTGACGATAATGATTACATTTGCCCCAAGCTACTGATGGACAATACGTAAATATCCGTATTGATAAGCCAAGCATCTCCTCACGTGTTTTTGAAATTGAAATATTTTAACAAGTATCAGACTATTTACGATGACATATTATATAAAATTGATATAAATATCAACAATGAATAATTGATCATTTGAGTCAGGAAAAATTGGCTGTAACTAAACTCATTTTTCTATCTGTATATTTATTTTAGTTAAGTAGAATGAAAGTGTTGATGCTAAATTTAGTTGGTGTTAATTCTTAATTTTCGAGAAAAAAAAAACGTTATTTTTATTGATGACGAATGTATTATTTTATTTAATAATTCAAGATTATTTAAATTGTAAATATAAACTTTTTTAAGACCGAATCGAAGTACGAAATAAAGTCGAGATGGCGCTACAAATTAATGACTGATGTTAATTTCAGATATTTTTATTTATTAAATATTATATTTTAAGCATTAAAGTATATATTTTTGTTTTTCTTTATTGGTTGATTTTAATGTACATAAAATTTAAAAAAAAAACTTTTAAAAAATTAAAAACGAAAACTAGAATATATTACTATTAATTTAATCTCCAGGGGGAAGCACAGGAACAATGCAGTGGGTGATCGGTTAACGAATGAATCGGAAGACGAACACTTTCGTGAAAAATTTTTGTTCGGACAACGAACAACTCACAGAACAAACGCAAGAAGCGACGTAAAATAATGAATACCGATTGGTCTTCTCTTGTCTTCAGACAACAATTCGAAACTTTTCAAAGCGCGGGAGACATCGACATCGACGCTCAACCCGATATATACTGATCGGATAGTATTCTTCCGAACTTTGCACACAGAACACAGAACAAACGCAAGAAGCGACGTAAAATAATGAATACCGATTGGTCTTCTCTTGTCTTCAGACAACAATTCGAAACTTTTTTCGAAACTCTCCCTTGTAATTCCAGCCTTTTCTTTTTCTGACAGAAACAATTATTTTATAATATTCGCGAGACTGTCGGGTGGGCACTCGTTAAGTTTTGCGTCTGTTTTTCTTTTCGAAAGGTGAGAGTATAATAGCAAAGGTAGAGTCTGATGTCTGTTGTTGCTAGGCACTATGGCTTGAACAGGTCTACAGTAGGCCGCAGTTCAATGCTCAATCTTATCTAAGAAAGATACTGTATTATGAAGAAAACTCAAGTAGCTTAAAAGAATACATTATGTCTGAAAGTTGGAGATTGCCTATAATCATATTGAAAATAAAGATTTTATTTAATTACTATAAAGAAAATGATCGTTTATAAATGATTTTTTATAAAGTATTGCCAAATTTCCTTTATTTTAACTAAACTATCTTGTTCTTTATTGAAATGAGAAAGGATTCAATTTATCTTTCATTTTCATTTTTAAATGCCTGTATTTTGCAATAGCAATTGTAGATTTTTTACATGCCTATCCTAATAGATCAATTCATATCCTTCCATACAGAAAGATATGATTTATCATTAAATCAGTGGCGTGCCGTGACATATGATGATAGGGATGCTGTGTTTCTATAAGAAGCTAACTTCCAGGGGCAGTCAGTTAATTCTTTAAATGTATTTTTAATACATTATTTATCTCACGTAATTAATAAATAAACAAGTTAAATATAATTACCTCTGTTATTAGATTCAATAGATTCCCTATTTCCTCTAAATGCCGATTCTTGCTTTGATAAAAACATATAACATCTTTTAATTTAAACATATCTATTAGCCGTAACTATCTCGTTATAATTTTCAATATTTATTTTATATTATTTACTAATGTTAAATTCTATTCCGCTTCGATTTCCAAATTGCTTCAAATACGAAAGAATCGACGATTTTTCGTGTCTTTTGCCAGCTAAATTGTCAAAGCCATTCTTATTCCACACACTAATTTCATTTGAAAATAGTAGGCGAGCCAACAAAACAATTTTTACATTTTTATGCATTTACGGAGCCATTTTATCTTGAAAACGTCGAACAAATTTTTTATTGAAGTGTTTATATTTAACTTAGTCATTAGCCTTTCTCTTTTTAATAATGTTTTCTTTTTCATTATATGATCTTGAGCCAAAACTTTTTAAAATAAATTTTCAATATCGCAATTACATTCTGAATCACTATCACGATAATAATCACGTGAAAATATCACGATATAAAGGCTAAAATTAAAAATAAAATTATAAAAACTTACTTGGTGAAATAAAATGTGTGGTGGATATACATACCTGGTACAAAATATTCTTCAATTGTATGAATATACTTTTAAAGAAAATTATAATTAAATATAGCTTTGTGAATAAACGTACATAAAAATAACATAAAATCTCCTTTACTTTTTAAATCTTAACCACTTAGTCAAATAGCTCCCTACAAGTGGAATCAGAGACGGTCATGCTAGGTGTGCGGTGCTTGCATGCACGCAGGCTACCAAATCCCGAGAGTGCCCATACCGGTCAATGTCAAATGCCTCTTTTTTTTTAGCATATCTCAAAGGACGCGACAAGGTTAAGTAAAATTTCGGCTCTCAGCAGGGTTTTGTTTATGTCCCCTATCCCCTAATAGCTTAATTATTAAACTACTTCTTATGTAGAAATAAGTCGAACCGGTTACTTTGTACTCGAATATTTGTAGTGTTGGGAAAAAAGTGGAAACACAAAGTTTTACGACAACAGATACATAAATCGTAAACGTGAGGAAAATAAATTCTAGAGCTTTTACTGTACCTGGCGCATCTCTCTCATTCATTAAATTTAATTGTAAATGATACTGTCAAAGTAACAGTTAATTTTTTAACATTGTACAAGAATAGTACACGTTTTTTTCTACATTCTCTTAGAGATGGAACATACGAAATCGTAATATCACTGGTTTAACATTGAATTCCGTAAGTAATATAAGATGCGGAAGCGGAATAAAAGCAAAATAAATACTGTACATCAAATATTCTGATAAAACTTTTTTAACTTCTGTCAACTATACAGAACTATCGTAAAAACATACTAGTAAATTCTTATCGTTCGGGTTAAGTTATAAATCTATTCGTGACTCACATAATCGGGCAAGGGCGGCCAAATATCTATCAGGCAAGCGTCTAACAGCCCAGAACCGGCCCTGGATAGAATTGGAAGCGTTATGTGTAGCTTCCACCACCTAAACCTAAGGCGCTAGATTACCCCTTGCAAAATCTTAAGATACAGTTGAATTTATGATTATTTTCGCGTCTCTTCTATTGAACTTCTATGAGAGTCGTCTGCTTTCTAAGGACCAAAATGGCGGATGAGCATACCTGGGTTATCTAGCGCCTTGCCTTACTTAAACCGGATGAAGTTGTGCTCTGTAAAGTGCATGCGCAAATCTGGTTGTTTCAGAGATAACAATACAGCGCTTCCACTCCGCTACTAATATTCGAATATACAATAGCCACCTTATCTTTTTTTTTCACGTGTAGTATATAAATTTGTAACAAGATACATAATGCAATTATAATATAATATTGTGCGATTATTTTCATATTACAGTAGAACCTCGAAAACTCGGCCTAATGTGGACCGAAGGGTGGCCGAGTTTGTGAAAATGCCGGGTTATCGGAAATGGGGTTAAAAAAGGATAAGTATGCTTGTTTCCTCAGAAAATACTGTACTGTACTTGTATGTATTGTTTGCTTGAGAATACAACAGAGAATAAACTGCCCAAATACCCTTAAACAAAGGAAAAGTACGTACTTTATGAAGGCATAGAGCCTTTACTACATGAAAATGAAAATTAATGAATACACTGTGTACAGTAATTTACCTGATAAGACA